AGAAATACAAATACATGTATAAAGAGAAATTTACCAACAAAGCCTATAAAGCAGAAAAAGCATGTAAATATATAAATATATAATATATAAATATATAAATAGAAATAGTATTTTTATTATATATATATATATATATATAAAGAAATTATTGCTACAATAAATTGCTGTAATAAAGCTAAAAGATGATATCTGCAAAACAAAAAGAATAAGAAACTCGATCTCCTGGACTTACTCCTAAGACAAGTATTAATACAAGATTCAAAAGTCTTGAATCTGTTGCGATTGCCACCGCATCCGGTATAAATAAACGCCCGACATGTTTGATATTCTTCGTTAAAGTAGAATCGTTTGGTGGTACCAGATGTGCAAGATCCAATATCAACTGGTTCTTTACAGATTGCTGTGTCATCATTATAAAAACTTATTCTCGCAGTAAACTCATGGTGAAAATTAACAGTTTTAATTTGAAAGAATAGTTGTTGAAAGAAAGAACCTTAAGAAGAGAGAATCAGATAACTGTACGTACATAAATTCGAAATGCTGGTATCATTTCCGGGAGGTAAAGGCTCTTCGTGATGTATGCAAATGGACTCGCATTCAGAGATCGTACTGAATCTATTAGCGTTACCGTCACATCCACCGTAAGTAAACTCACGGCAGGCGCGTAAACTTGGTTCATAATAATATTTACGGAAAAGACCTCTGCACGGGCCGGAGTCCACGGGAAGATTACACATATCTGAAATTGGAAATTAATTAATCAAATTTTAATTAAATTAAGTCTTTTTAAACAATTGTCTTATAAAAAGCTAAGTAGCTGAAGCATAAACAAAGAAGTGAAATTATTCATACACTTTTAAATTTAAATCTTAATTTTAATTACTAATTTTAATTAATTACTTAATTATTAAACGTTTACACAAACTCATTTTTTAAAATAAGATCTTTTATGTAACATGACTTAATTTGTATGCAATTGGTCGCTTGACGAAATCTTTCATAAAAAGATTTCATTGCAAAGTAGAGTAAGAATAAATGAGGATAAATGAGGATTGTATTAAAGTTCGCTATAATTTACCTTGTCCGTGAAATCTTCCGCAAAGTCGCTCACATTGTTCTTCACTTTCGAATCTGTTGGCATTTCCACCACAGCCGCCATAAATAAATGCCTGACACAGTCTATGTTGAGCGTCATAGTAATATGCGGTGATACTGTTGTCGCAATCGCCAGACTCAACAGGAGCCAAGCAAATCGTACTTTTCGGTTCTTCGATCAACGAGGTCGTTGTGACTGGAGTCCGAGTAACCTCCGGTGGTGTAACAGGCGACTGCCGTTTGCACCTTCTCTCACATGATTCTCTATCCTGGAAACGATTCTTATTGCCTTGACAGCCACTGTACTCGAACTCGTTGCAGGAATCGGTGCGTCTGTCGTAATAGAATTGCTTCACAAAACCGTTACAAGGACCGATCACCTTTGGTAGAATGCAAGGATCTAGGAAGGAAATTTTCGTAATTATCTTTAAATATTTATAATATACTTTGTGATTCGTTGTAATTCCATAACAAATTTTAAATAAATTTTTTACATTTTTCATTTCACAAATAAATTTTATTTTACGTCCAAAAAGTTTCTTTATTAAATATTATTAGAATATTTTATATAACGAGTATATTCGGCAATTCTTGGCGCGCGCGTTTTTGCTTTTTTATATAAATTCTTTTATGTTATATTTATAGCATAAGTTTATAGTTTATATTTATTATATAGCTTATTTAAGTACCTTGAACTTCTCCGCAACGGTACTCGCACTCCTCACGAGTGTTAAAATTGTTGCCATTACTTTGGCAACCACCATATCGGAATTGTTTACAAACGCCATCACGACTATCGTAGAACCATTTGACTTGATTCTCGGAGCAAGGACCGTGTTCATCAGGTAGGAAGCAGAATTCTATGATATCGGATAATATCATTATTTCATATCATTATTTATGAAGAATTTTCAAAATCGTTAGAAACCTTACCTAGCCGAAACTCGACTTGTCCTGGCGGGGATAATGTAGTAATAGTTGCCTCACACCTGTTGACGCAATCATGTTCGGTCATGAAATTATTTTCATTTCCGCCACATCCGCCGTAATAAAACTGTCGGCAGTGTTGCTCGTATGAATCATAGTACCATCGTTGCGTATAGTTGTGACATTCTCCCAGGAGAGCGGGCAAGAGGCAGATGTCTTGTTCTGTGTGTTCGTGAATTTAAAAATTAAACTTGTGCTGCACACGTTATGTTAAGTAGCTTAGTAGAAGGATTTTGCTAATTGATAAGGATCACACAAAATACAAATATGTACAGTGCAAGTTATAAGTTATAAAAAAGGAAACACTTTCTTATAAAGACACTCTTTTATAAAGAGTGTTTATGTTCTTTATTAATACTTTATTGAATGAGAGAGAGAGAGAGAGAGAGAGAGAGAGGAGAGAGAGAATG